TCTTCTTTTTTTTTTTCTTAACATATATTGCATTATTTGTTTCAGAGGTACAGATCTGAGATTCAACAGTCTTGCACAATTCACAGCGCTTACCAGGTGATATGCTATATCTTATTAACTGTGATACTACAGGTACATGAAGGCAATACAATTGAATTTCTTAATATAATTATAGTGCTTCATTAATACATAAGGTCTTCCTTATGGTTAGTCTGTATTAGTGATATTGTCCCTTACTACTTTATATTTATATTTACAACAAAAAGGCTTAACAGGGTGTTCCTTTCTGCTGTGCGCTGTTTTCTTAAATTATTTTTCTTCCCTCTAGTTTAATGGTGAAAAATAGGAATAAAGGTTGTATTTTCGAAGATTGATGTAAATTGATTAGAATGAAGTGATGATAATGGAAAAAAAGGTTTCTTTTTTCTAATACTGGAGATTCCTATTCAGCTTCTCTTTTAAAAAGTCTCATCCTTCAGACTTCTAATATTCTTGTTATTAGTGTTGCTTCTTGTTTAATATAACACTAAAATATCTGGAAAAGTATTTTGTAAAGTGCTTTTATTATTATGTAATATGTAATGTAAATTTTCAGATTAAATTTGCTTTTCCTTCTCAGTCTTTTAAAATATTGATACAGGCCTTTGTTTTCCCCCTTGAGAGTCATTTTTTAAAGATTTTTTTTTTAAATTTTTTGACAGAGAGAGACAGCACAAGCAGGGAGAGTGGCAGGCAGAGGGAGAGGGAGAAGCAGGCTCCTGGCTGAGCAGGGACCCCCCCCCCGGTCCCTGGGATCATGACCCAAGCAGAAGGCAGATGCTTAACCGACTGAGCCACCTAGGCGCCCTTAGAATCATTTTTTTTTAAAGATTTTATTTATTTATTTGACAGAGACACAGCGAGAGAGGGAACACAAGCAGGGGGAGTGGGAGAGGGAGAATCAGGCTTTCCGCTGAGCAGAGACCTTGATGTGGGGCTCGATCCCAGGACCCTGGGACCATGACCTGAGCCGAAGGCAGACGCTTAATGACTGGGCCACCCAGGCGCTGCGAAGAATCATTTTTTTGAAACTACTCAACCCAAGTCATTCCTGGAGTGCTGATGTCAGTGGATATGAACCGTAGACCTCACTTCTAATACCTCAGGAACAAGCTTGGGAAATGCGTTTCTTCTTCAGGGTATATATGAACTATGAGTAACTGAGGGAAAGACACTTGACTGTTGTGTGACCTTTGTAGCCATTTTTAGGGAGGCTTAGAGCAGAGTATGCTGTCTAATTCTGTCTTTTTTGGGGGTGCAAGTCAAAGCTACCTCTGCTCCCTGCCCCTTCACAGACACTCAGGAAAAGGTGTTGCACCTGCTCCCTCCCCAGAGCTCCCCCAGTGCCCATAGCATGGCCATGAGCACCACTCTGGGTGGCATTTTCTTTTCTCTCTCTTTTTTTGGCCTCTACGGGTCTACTAAATTTAATGCTTCTACAAGTCATCAGGAAAGTGATCTCTTTCTTTTTAATTTCAGCAAGGGGAGAGGCGAAGCACAGAGAGCAGCAGATCAGACCATACTGAGCTCCCTTAGAGCGGCTGAGACCCGTGGAGGATGCTGGCTGTCAAGTGGCTGAGGAGGGCCTCACTCTAAGGTGGGAAAGCAGGTGTCAGCGGGACAGCTTCCTCTGCTCCTGGGCTCACCATGGCCTTCACTCTTTGGCTGGACGGCTGACGTGACTGTGTGCCCCAAGTGTGCACGCTGCTGGACTGGGTGCTGTCCCAGGTACTGCCTGCTCTCAGGGTCTGGGAGCAGGGCAGGTGGGCATCAGATGCTACCAAAAGCCGGACGGGGCAAAGCGATGGACTCCGACAAGCTAAGATGGAAGTGACCTGAGGCCTCGCCCAGGCGGTTTCCTCTTGACAGGATAGCTTAAGAGTTGGAGCACAGGCTTGTCTGGGGAGCAGTATGCAGGAAACTGATTATCAGGCCACAAATGCTTTCACAGGTGAGAATCCTCCACACTTAAAAGTTTGTTTCAACTCTTAGTTGGTAGGTAATAAAATACCAAACAACTCTATAAAATGAGTGTGCATTTGCATTTATGAACTGAAGGCCAAACAGAGTCAAGGGGCTCAGGCTGCCATGGTAACTGATTTTGACAAAATAATAGTATGTTTTTCTGCTCTCTAAATAGGAATTTGAAAAGCATTTGACATTTTATGATTCTGCTTTTGTTGAGTAATATGGCACACACAATGTCCTGCAAGTCATTGTTCTCTAAAGGAAATGTCACTTGCGAGCAATGTATGGGGGTATGTTTTTCTTTACAGAACTGGGAAGAGTGAGGGAATAAAGTTATTAATGATGAGTAACTTCTCCCTCCCCATCTTTAGTTTTCCTTCTCTGATTTATTCATGTGCAAATGGCAGTGGGATGGCAGTTCTGCTGAACTGACCATGTCCTTAGGATTCTTTTCATATAAGTGAGCTAATGGGGAAGGCCCACATCACTATTTGACATTGCTTTGCCCCCTGGCTTCCAGTTTGCACATTTTGCAGGGAATCACTTAGTCTGGCTGATGCCCCAGAGCCATGGCCTGAAACACAGGGCCTTTTGAATTTGGGTCCTTCTTTCTTGTCTGATTCACTTATCATCCCAGTAAGGCATCTAATCCTTCTGGGCCTCTGGCTCCTTATTTATAAAATGGGGACTGTGAAGTTGAAGAAATTCATGGAATCCAGAAGAAACATTTCTACATAAAAAGAGGGTTTTTTGTTTTTTGTTTTTTTAAAAAAGGAAAGATGGTAGAATAATCATGAGAAGTGACCAGACCTGAAAGTTTGCAGCATTTCAAATTTTGTGGAGAGAGCAGGTCCGGTTGTTGGGTGCTTGGAGAGGTGGCGGCTCAGTCTGAGGGCCACATGAACTTGGATTGAACTCTGCCTTCTTCCCTGACTAGAGCTCTGCCGTTGGACAGTCATTGAGCTCCTTTATGTTTCCCTTTGCCTATTTGTAAATGAAGATGGTCACGTTCAGCTCTCAGTGGTGGTGCTGCTCTGAGGAAAAATGAGACTACATATGTGGGATGCTGAATATGGAGTTCAGTGCTTTCCAGGCCTTAGCTGTTTCCTGATGTGGAGCTACAGTGTTGAGCCTGGTTGCCCAGTCCAGTCCTTCTTGCTCTCTGTGCTCACACATTTGAGTGAGCTCCTTAGACCTGTCAGCATCTGCATCTGTAAGGTGGGAGCCCTCATCTTGGGGGCTGTTCTGAGGAAGGTCCTCTTAGGGTGGTCACGGCCCTTTGAAAATGAATGAAACAGTATTTAAATGTAGATTCAGAAGAGCACACAGAGTTGAGTGCTTTAGAACCATCTTCAGACTTCCAGCCTGGCTGACTGGAAACCCTGCCTTCTTGGCCTCCCTTAATGAGTACACTTCAGCTGTTTCAGTCTCATGAGCTGCGCCTTCGTGGGATGTCACTGTCACTCTTCTGTGTGGAGGGTGGCATACAGGGCTGTGACACAAAACATCTCTGTGAAGTGGCCAGGCCTTCAAACTCTTCTTCCCCTCTCCCTGGGAAACAGCTGGGGAGGAAGGGCATCTAGGAGGTGCATGGAAAGAAGCTCTTAAGGCAATTCTGAGAGGAAGAGGGAACAAAAAGAACTAGAGTAAAGAGCAGCGTATGGTTCAACATGTAGACTAGCCTTGTCTGCACGCTCCGCAGCTGTGTCACTGCCTTCTCAGGAGGTGGAAAGCTCCTGTAGTTGTTGCCTCCTCCTGCCTGGCTCCTGAGACTCCTGCCTTATTGCCAGTGCCTTCTTGGGCAGTCAGCCCTTGAGAGGGGCCTGACCAGGGAGTGGAGGTGACAGGGCTGCCCCACTGGATTCTAGACACAGTCTCTCCTGAGCCTGGCATTGGTCTGCCATGGTTCACACTTAATGCAGTTGTGTCCAGTCCTCACCGCTTATTGGGTTGCTCTATAGCTCCTCTGCTCTGAGGAGAAAGGAAGCATACTCACCGCCCCTGTCAGGATCCCAGACCGGCTGGTGCCTGGGGCCTTGAGACAGTTGACTCTGAATAATGGAAACCCCTGGGTTCTGCCTGGAGAATTCACAGTAGTTAGGACAGTACTTGAAACATTAAGGCCCAAGAAAATGGCAGCTGTAATTGTGACTGTTACCCTGGTTGTGGGCTATGCACAGGACCCTGGTCACTTCCTCACACATTTGCTCTTAGCCACCCTCTCAAGGCTCCTCCCCAGCTCATATTTTCTTAACTTCTTTTAACTTATAGTTTACCCAAGAACTCTGTTTCCTTACAAATTTGGCCTCCTCCTAGTTGCATTGGCCTACCTGAATAATAATCATATTGGTAGCAGTAGTAAAATAAAATCCTTGGCCAGTGTTTTAGAGAACTTAGCATGTGCTTTATCTGCCTTAACTCTGTCTGTCTTCACAACTCTGAGACATTGTTAGTGTGCTGATATTATTGGTGCAGGGGTCCACTCAGCAAAGCCAGCAGTTGGACTGAACTGGCAGCCTCTCCAAATCTTCTAGCACTGTGTGTGCAACCTCAGCTGCACATGAGGGTCACCTAGGGAGCCTTACCGCTGCCTGGGTCTCCCCATCAGAGATTGGGATTTACTTAACCTCTGTATCACCTGGCCCTGCTAAACCAGGACATATCCTAACAAGATTCCCAAGTACCTAGTGCGTATGAAAGCCTGGCAAGCTGTGAGAGCCAGCACTGTACAAAGAGTGGTGTTTAGAGGAGAGGGTAGGTTGGGAGAGTCAGTTCTTGAAAAAAGGAACTGGCTTGTCCCATTTCCTCAACAGAAGTGATTGAATTAACTAATCTCACATTCTTTTTTTTTTTTAAGATTTTATTTATTTATTTATTTGAGAGAGAGAGAGAGAGACAGTGGGCAGGAGAGGGAGTGAGAATCTGAAGCAGACTCCATGCTGAGCGCAGAGCCCAACGCAGGGCTCCATCCCACAACAGCGAGATCATGACCTGAGCCGAAACCAACAGTTGGATGCTTAACCGACTGAGCCACCCAGGTGCCCCTAATCTGTGCATTCTTAAAGAAGCTGTCAATTATTGAATATTAGCTGTAAGAGCTGGGCCCACGAGAACCTGTAGGACAATGGTTTTTGCTTCCCAGTATGTCTAGGGAAATAACCAGTGGTAGGATAAAGGAGATGTATGTATGTAGCCTTCTCTGGAAGTGGGTCCCTGTGGACTGGGCTCATCATTTTTTATTCTTTGCCTGCTCTTCTCATCCATCTTTCCCTATATAGTTGGTCAAAGTTACTTATGATGTAGAATGAAAAGGACGATCCTCTGTCCCTGCCCAAGTAGTGGGGTAAAGCTGTGTAGTCTTAGAGGTGAGTAGGAGGCTGGTGCCCACCCTCTTAGTTGGTTTGCTGTTCTTATGTTTCTTGACTTTTGTCTTTTTTTTTTTTAATTAATTAATTATTTTTGAGAGGGAGAGAGAGAAAGCGAGCACAAGCGGGGGGAGGGGCAGAGGGAGAAGCAGACTCCTTGCCCCCCGAGTAGGGAGCCTGATGCGGGACTTGATCCCAGGACCCCCGGATCATGACCTGAGCTGAAGGCAGATGCTTTAACCCACTGAGCCACCCAGTAGCCCGACTTTCGTCTTTCCTTATCCCAGGGCAACTAAAGGTGCTAATGTCTTACTTTCTGGAATTGAAGGTGCACTGATTTTGTGGATTCTCTAGGCCAGTGGAAAAGAGTCTTGCCTGAGATATTTAAAATGGTGAAGGGGTTAAGGCATTTTTCCTTGGCTTTAAATCTTGTTTTAGAGCATGACAAAAATCACTATATAGTTAGCCATACCTCCACTTAAGAAGATTTGTCAGTTTATGTTTTATGTTTCAATTCCCTTGCTGATGGGAGCCTGGGGGGCTCAGGATTCCTATTAAAGAAGGGCTTAGGGGCTGCAGTCTGGCTGGGAGGGAAGCCTGGGAGACCAGTGTGAAGCTGTGTTTGCATGGCAAGCCCATTGCTTGTTTTGGAGTGCGTGCAATTATTGTGATGGCTCGTGGGAGCTTGGAAGCTGCTTCCTCACCATGCCAGTGCTGGTTTGCCTGTTTTTCAAAGTCCCCTCTTACATCTTATTTCATGTGTGAATGTAGGTTTACATACATGGGTACATATTGCAATTTCATCCTCCTAATTATGATTTTCTTAGGCTATTCCTCACATATAGGAATTTATACATTGTTTTAAATTTTCTCAGCACATATAATTTATTTTTTTTTAAAGATTTTATTTATTTATTTAACAGAGAGAGAGAGGACAAGCAGAGGGAGCGGCAGAGGGAGCGGCAGAGGGAGAGGGAGAAATAGGCTCCCTGCCAGGGAGCCTGATGCGGGGCTCAATTCCAGGACCCTGGGATCATTACCTGAGCTGAAGGCAGACGATTAACTGACTGAGTCACCCAGGCACCCCTCAGCACATATAATTTAGAAATGATTTTAATCATTTAGATACTATTTTATAACAAAAAACCTTAATTTTCTCTTTTACAAGTAATACCTGTTCATTGTAGGCAAATTTGGAAAGCACAGAAAAATTGCAATTAGAAAAATAATTACCCATACATACAGTCTTGCCATATGAAGCTTTCCACTGTTAACATCTAGGTTATGTCTTTTCAGTCTTTTCTTTCCTGCATAAATTTCTTCCTGTGGCTGATCATTCCCCTTTAACATTATATTATGAACATTTTTTCAAAAAGATTTTAATTAATTAATTAATTTATTTATTTAGAGAGCATGCATGGGTGGGGAGAGGGGCAGAATCCCAACCAGGCCACCCCCCTACCCCCCGCCGAGCACGGAACCTGACTCGGGGCTCAGTCTCATGACCTGGAGATCACGACCCAAGCTGAAATCAAGAGTCGGACACTTGACCAACTGAGCCACCCAGGCACCCCAGTATTTTCTTTATATATATGTTTTAAAGTTGCTACATAGTATTCTTTTATGTATGTGTACTTGACTCTTTAAATTGTGCTCTTATTATTAGACATTACAGTTTTTGACAGCTTTTGCCCTTATAAATAATGCTTTGATGAACACCGTTGTGTAAAAAGCTCTTCTATGTATTGGGCCATTTTCTTAGGTTAAGTTCCCAGAATTAGAATTATGGAGTCCAAAGATGTGAACTTTATTAAGGTTTATGATTGAATTTTCAAAGGGATTGGGTGGGCCTAGCTTCTAAGACTGTGCTGAGCTCAGTTTTTCTCCAGTTGCCTGCTCATAGTTGCTGTGGCCAGTCCCTGCCATTCAGCTGGGAGATGCCCCAGCCCTGCCTGCACTACAGGGTGTCATGAGAGTAATGCACC